CACACACACACACACACACACACACACACACACACACACACACACACACACACAAAACCACCAGCATCTCCCACTGAAGAGCCTCCCAGCGTGGTTTTACCAAAAATAAAACATGACAAACGCCACGGAAAAGATGCACAGGGTGGAAATTCTTTAATTTGGTGTAWCTCTGCGATCTCAAGTTGGACTAGAAAATTATGGATTCTATATTGAGACAAGGAGCCGATTTGTCTGAGTCATCAAACTGAGTTACTTTTATTCCTGTWCTTCATGCAGAACTTGACCTCATTGAAGAAACTCAACCTAGACGACAACCAGATCAGCAGGATTCCTGCGTTGCCTCCATCTCTGGAGGAGCTCAGGATCAACAACAACAACCAACTCAGGACTCTGACCCACCACTCCTTTAAAGGTATACAACTTAGATCTTCACAGGCAAAAAAACTAAAAGTAGCACATCAAAACAGTTATATTCGGTGTTCTCTCGTAGGTCTGGTGAACCTGCTGAAACTTGAGCTGAAGAAGAATACTCTTCGTGAAGCCAGTGTGTCACCTTTGGCTTTCAGACCTCTGCAGAAGCTTCTGGACCTGCAGCTGGACAACAACCACTTCCGTTTTCTCCCGCCGAGGCTTCCTGCTTCTCTTCAGGTGGGGAGAATCCACAATGTGTTTGGAGAGGCGGTGGAAAGGGTTCAGTGTCAACACTAACAGATACTTTCAMAAAAGTAAAAACCAGAGTTCAAACTTTAATACAGTAATTAACTTTGGTGTAAACCGAAAAAGGTTATTTGTTTAAATCAGTGGTTTCTAAAGYGAAGCTGGGAAAAAGCAAAAGTATTCACATTCATTACACAAATGGAAGTATATGCTAGGGTTTAAAATACTTCTRTAGAAGTTTAAGTATCAACTCAAGCTTTTCAGGTAAAAGTACTGGTTTTAAAACTACATAAAGTATAAAAGTAAAAGTAAACAAAGCGTAGGCTGCACCTCAGGGGTCTATAGATCAGAACCCAACCTACTTCAAAATATAATAAAGGCATTAATGACTATRATATTAAATTAATTATGAATTAATGTTGAAAAATATGGGATGCACATGTCATCTGGCCTGTGAGTGATTCGTRTCATACAGGTGTGATGGATCATACAAACCAACAGGGTGTCAGAATGGTATATATTTATACTTCTCATCCAACCACAATTAAATCCACTTTGCAAGATTCGCCATATGCTAAGTTAGGTATTTTTTTTAAAAACAATGACAAGTCGAAATAAAACAGAAATTAGATTTTTATTTGTATTTATTTTTATTTTTTCTACTCTTTAAATAAAACAAATATAAGGAGTAATATGTACAGATAATTGTATGAAAACGCAAGGAGTAGAATTAAAAATGTTGGCTAAAATTAATTACTCCAGAGACCAAGATTTCTACCTAAATAAGGCAACAACATATTTGTACTTTGTTACTTAACAACTCTGCCCACAGCAGGCCATGAAACACCTGTGAAGCATCTTGTGGTGGTTTAAAGATAACCTAAAGCAGAGGAGCCCAAAGTGGGGCCCGCGGGCCAAATTTGGCCCACCAAGCCATTTGATTTGGCCCACCAGCAGTTGCCAAAGTTACAATGTAGTAACTTGTTATCCTATAGGTAGAAACACAGTGTCACCATTGGTCAAATGACTATATAAAGAGGCTGAAGTGAAGGTAGTTTTCATTCATGGTGCAGACTTTATCTTTGCTTTATTAGGATTAAACATGAAACATGAAACGACAAGAAATATTTAGACCAGATTTAACCCCACATGTAGATTTGCACACTTTATAAGTCCACAAAAACTCTTATTTAATCAATTTATAAAACGTCCCATGAGCCTTTGCTACTTGAGCGTATGGCAGACTTTCTCCAAGTGCACAGATTAAAAAAAAGAGGACCGTTGCACAGCTTAATGGTTAAAAATAAAGGACTTTACTTAAAAAGTATTTGTATTTCATGTATTATATAAATGCATTTGGCCCGCAGCTCTGGATAGATTTTCATTTTGGCCCCCTCTGGGAAAATGTTTGGGCACCCCTGACCTAAAGAATAATTGAGATAAAAGAGACCTTGCCAAGAATCACATGTTGCTCATGTGATGTGTGAGTAAAACTAAAACAAGAATAGAAAATGTGACTTCATACAAATGTGTACAAATTGAATGAGTTTGTTTCAAATTTGAATGCATTCAACACTAGGACAGCTTTAAGTTGTAGATAATGCACCTAAACAAACTTTTTTCCTGTTTCTTATTTTGCAGAAGCTCAAACTAAGTGAAAACCGTATTGAGGAGGTGAGAGAAGAACCTCTGAGGGGCTGCAGAAACCTGAGAGTTCTGGACCTGAGTCACAACCACATCTACGAGCAACGCATCGCTACCAACGCCTGGATCCATCTGAAGTACGTCCATCCATCCATCATCCATCCATCCATCCATCCATCCATCCATCCATCCATCCATCCATCCATCCATCCATCCATTCATCAATCCATCCATCCATCCATCCATCGTAGTTCTTTAATAGACCACTAGAGGGCAATCAGGCTTCTTTTAGACAACCTAAAAATGGATGAAGACAAATAAAAGTTCATTTATTTTATTTGTAATTAATGCAGTGATGATATATACTTTTTTCTTCAGCATGTGAGGCTGACATTTTCAGGCTTAAATAATGCTCTTTCTCACATGACAGTTTAATTTTTTTATTTTTAGCAAGAAACACTGATTTCTCCTTTATTGTGCTCACTTTTTCACACAGACAGACACAAGCAGTTATCACACAAGTTATGACAGCTGACTTTGTGTACTCAAGAGGAGCAGATGTGAGATGGAGAGCTTGAGGGCAACTGTGTGGCTCAAAGTGTGTGTGTGTGGGTGT